GCATGGGCGATGGGGGGCTTCGTGGGAAGGGATTTCTGTAATGCCCAATGCTGTAACATGGAAAGGCTCGATCTGAAACAGCTGCTGACCCAGCCTGGTGGTTTGACGCAGGGGCGCGGAACCTTTTTTGGGAAGAGGACCCAGAGAAAAATCAGCTGGGGGGGGGGTGCACAAAGGTGAGATGCCAAAACAAAACAAGAACAAAACCCTCAGTGATGTGGCCCCAGACTGAGAAGCAGAAAAACAACCCTCATATCCCCCTCACACACTAGAGCAGGGCTACTCAACATGCGGCCCGCAGCCCATTTGTTTGCAGCCTGCGGTGCAGTTTGGGTTTGCGCGGGGCTCAACACGTAGCCCGCAGGTGTGAGCCAAAACAAAAAAGTAGTTCATATAATGGTCTTCTGTTGATATGCATTTTACTAGTTAAATTCCTGGACTGTCATTACTCGTTAAAAGTGCTGTCATATGGGTGGAAATTGGGTAAATATTACATTTTATTAAAATCAGTGATCTGACTTAAAAGGGGCCTGCGTGTTGTGTAGTCTTGCCTTAATCTTTGTATTCATGCACATCAGTGTGAAAAAAGCTATTTGCATATATTTGCATATATATTTGCATGTATACGCAACCACACTTAAGTTGCGGCCCTCGGCATGTCCTGTAAATGTCATTGTGGCCCCTGGGGCTTCCAGTAGCTCTGCACTAGAGCCTAGGAAGGCCCAGGCTTATAGATTTTGTGGCCCTCCTAGACTCTGGGGTGGCACCAAGATGAGGGGCTCAGCGTGTAGGAGGGAGGCTGCCAGGAAGCAGGCTTGGGGTAGGAGGTCTGGGCTGGAGGGAGGGTGCAGGAGTGCACTAGGTCTGAGCAGGAAGGTGAGTACAGGGGTGGGCTGTGGGTGAGGGGGCTGGTGGGAGGTAGAGTGCATGAACATAGAAGGGGGGTGAGGTCTCAGGGAGAAGGTGGATACAGGAGCAGGCTGGGAGTGGAGAGTCTGGGCAGGAACCACTTCCTCTTCCCATCAGGCACAGGCCGTGGGTCAGATCAAGAGCCTGTGAGGCTTGGAGCTCCCACTCCTGGAGCGGGGAGCCAGCAGTGGCACTGCAGCTCCTAGGAGGGTATTGAGGGGAGGCTGCAGGGCTGCAGCACCAGTTCTCTGATGCTGGGGGGGGGGGGGGGGCGGTG